GTGCCAGGCTCTAGGGGCTGTGGGAAAGCCCCTCGACCTTGGGCTTCAGCTCTACCTTCTGCTGCCAGCCGACTAAAACTAGAGGCATCTCTTCACTCAGATAGCTACTGGCTGCTGAGGCTAACAAGCCCAAGGTCGACAAATAAAATGGCACAGTCCCGATGTTACCAAACGACATGGCAGGCCATTGATTCAAGTCCATTGATTGTCCCAGGATCGGCAGAGCATGGCAGGCTGCTGAACAATGACATGGCTGTGTGCAGGGTTCAAGTGTGCCATAAGCTAGAGACCATCCTCAAAGCTGCTGCTTATATATGGGAAGCAGACCACATCCCTAAAGCAGCTACTCAGCTGCTTATGGTAGATTCCATCATGGAGTTGATTGCCAGTCTCATCATGGGGAATAACTACCACCATCTGCCCAGCCACTCAACCAGGCCCAGCCAAGTTGACATACAACTTTAACTACCACACATACAGTGTTCACAGGCACAGTTCAAAGCTATGGTGGCTTGATACTGAGAAACTGTATGTAGTTTGAGGGAAGGTGCTCTTGTGTTTGATATGGGGGTGGAGGGAGGTGCGGCCTCTTTAATGGCTGCCAAATAAATGCTGAAGGCTAGTTTCATAAAAGCAAAAATCCTCCTCCGATTTTTTTTTTTTTTTGGTTAGCGAAAACAGGTACATACTAATGTAGGTCTGTCATAAAAGTGAGTGCCATAAGGCAAACTTTTGAAAAGTGGGGTATACCTGTAACCATATCTTTGCTAGTAACAAAGTTACTACTATTCTCAATTTGGTCTTTATTTTTCCCAGCCATGATTTAATATTTTTCTTACATATGTATATATCCATAAATAATATTATTTTATATATTTTGAACTTTGTGTAATGATATGATAAACTATACTTTTTTTCTGCAGAACTTGATTTTTTTATTTAACATTATTTTGAAAATGTAGCCTTTTGATTGTTGATACATTTTAATAATGGTATAGCATTCTGGTGTATGAATATATCAGAATGTATTTATCCATTTTCCTATTGAAGTCCACTTAAATTGTTTACATTCTTTTACAGTGACAAACAGTGCTGCTATGAGCTTCTTATACATGTTTCCTTGTGTTCATGTGGGAAAAGTTTTAAGTATATAATTGACTGAACTTTTTTACTTGGGCCTCTTCAACTTTACTAGAAATTGTTCATTTCTGTGCAAAGTGGGTATAACAACTTACACTCCCTCTAGCAATACCCACCAACTGCCATTGAGTCATTTCTGACTCATAGTGACCCTATTAAGTTCACATCAAAGATATATGTAGGTATTGTTGTTGTTATGTGCCATCGAGTGGGACCCGACTCAGCAACCCCTCCTTGGGTTTCCGAGGCAGTATCACTATGGAAGTAGATTGCCCCATCTTCTTTCTGAGGAGTGGCTGATGGGTTTGAACCGCCAGCCTCCTGGTTAGCAGTCAAGTGCCTTAGGCACTATGCTACCAGAGGTATTAGTATATTCCGGTTTTGCAGAAATGATGGTATTTGAATATTTAAGGCACAGATTGTTTTGTTTTTTCTCTTGTGCTTGATATACTTGTAAGTCCAAAGTAGTTTTAGGGAGAAACAAAGTAATTAAGTCTAGATTTAACTAAATACTGTTGTTGTTGTTGTTATGTGCCGTGGAGTCGGCCCCGACTCATAGCGACCCCTCCTTGGGTTTCCGAGGCAGTATCACTACGGAAGTAGGATTGCCCAACCTTCCTTCCGAGGAGTGGCTGGTAGGACTAAATACTAGCTTGCTCTTTTCATATTGCTGTGTTACTTGGAGGACAACCTCACTTCTTGGTATTCTATTTGTACCTTTTACTCTAATAAAGTAAAATGCTTATTTATTTTTTACTATTTTTGTGTTACTAGATTGTTAGAGGATTAAACAGTAAGCAACATTGTTTGTTGGAGAGCCCCACAGGAAGTGGGAAAAGCTTAGCCTTACTTTGTTCTGCTTTAGCATGGCAGCAGTCTCTTAGTGGTAAGTAGTTGGTTAATATTTTCCAATTATTTATTGGAACCAGAAAGTACTCTTTATTTGGAATGGTTCAGCTATGCTCTGGCTAATTTAAATACTCTCCTTTTAAGATGTTTCTTTATACTAGGTTATATGTCTTCCAAAAGAGTTTCAACATTGCAAAATAATTTAAGTAATCCTAAAACAATATTGAACATAATTTAGTCTTTTTTTTTTTTTTTTTAATTTAGTTTTTTATATGATGATTCAGAGTATACATAAGAATCTTGGAATGCTTAGAATTATCATGAAAATAATTAGGTGATAATTTATATGTAAATGATGTAAGAAGCTGTCATATTGCTATATCACATACTAAACATTTTTTCTTTTTTAGTAAATGCTTTAATGTATTTGTTTATCTGCCCCTTTCTCATAACAATAGAGTATGGAGTATATAAAAACATTCTAGTTGAGCTTTCTACTTGTTTGGATGCCAGATAAATAGAAGTTTACTATAATGTTGCTTGTATGAATTCATATTGTTTCCCATTATTTTTATGTTATTTGTAAACAAATGCCTGGCAGTACTTTCTTTTATTGAAAAACTACATAATCTATGTAATGAATTTGAAATACAGTATTGGATACATTTTTAGTTACATAATTAGATGGCTTTGACCTAATGTATTAGGAGAAGTTGAAATTAATCATGGGTATGTATATGTGTGGGGTTTTTTTTTTTTGACATTTTCATACTACTTTTATTAAAAAATAAATATTTTATAAGTTTTTGGCTATCCGTTTTGATTGTTGGTGTTATTCTTTAAGGAAAAATGATATCAGTTAATGACTTAAACTTTTAATGGGAAGGGTTTGAAAAATAGAATTAATAGATTTGTGTGGTACAGATGGGAATATAATATCAGTACTATTTAAAAAAATCAGTTATTTGGCTATTTTTGGTATATATGAAATGTAGACTTATTATAATTAAATATTTTGGAATTTAAATTTACTCATTTTATCGATTTAAAGTATTAATCTCAAAATGCACTTTGATATAGGTATGAAAATTATGACATCAAAAAACATGTTTATGTTTGAAGTAAAAGTGTAATGTGAGGAATGGTTTAGCCTGTCATGTAGTTTACATTACTATTTTATATATTGAACATTCAAATTCTTCATTTAGGGAAATAGTAGTAATTAAGAATATTGCTTAGGTATGTTTCAGTCTTTCTGCTTGAATTTTCAATAAGTCTCAATACAAATGAATACTTGAGTAGTTGTGTTTTGATTACATTATAAATCTTGAATGATTAGATTTTTGTAGATTAAAGAAATTGATGATAAACTCTCTGAAGGTGATAAATGATGTAAAATTGATGATAAATTCTCTGTAAAAGTTTCTGACATAAATGTTTCTCTTAGCCTAATTTGATGCTGCAGATAGGGTGACCAGCTTGTCCTGGTGTGCCAGGTACTTTCTTGGTTTTAGCACTGAAAGTCCCACATCGTGGGAAACCCCTCAGTTCTGGGCATACTGGCATGGTTGTTCACCCTAGCTCCAGACTGGAGTGGATTTTTTGAAAATTAGAGATGTTAAAAATCAAGGTTCTTTCATTTTTAGAGAAGCTAGTGGATGAGGGCTTAAGTAAAAAGGCTGAAGTACCACTGTCATGTTGCTGTACATGCCACTCAAAGAATTTTACTAACAATGACATGAACCATGGAACATCACACCATTTCAGCAGTCCAAGTACGCCACCTTCTGAAAGAAATATTACTTCATCAACTTGTCAAGGTAATTTATATTTTGCTTGATTCTATTGGTATCTGTAACAAGAGCCCTTAATTATTGCTATTATGAGACCAAATTTAGGTAAATTTCGTTAGCACAATTGATTTGTATATGTCTGATTTCTCTGGAATTATTTAAAAATAGTACCTAGAGTGGTCAGAAACCCTTGGACTGTTTTTTACTAGTTTGACTTAATTTATTTGGATATTTTGCTGGCTTAAATAATTTTTAGAAGCAAGGCAAAATAAATGATGTTTAGAAATTGTTATATGTACCCAGTATTTTTAATTATATAGTAGAATCTTATAAAATGTATTGATTTGTATCTTAAGACAAAATCTAATTAGACTCATTCATTTATTCTTTATAAATTTGCCTGACTTTCTGAGGCCAGTATCTATATGAAGATAAAGTGTTTTTTTTAAATGCATTTTATTGAAATATAATTTATGCACAGTGAAATACACAGAACTAAAGTGATATGGGTCAGTGCATTTTTTTCTTTTTTGCAGTTTTTCCTCTCCTCCCCTCTCACCCCTGGCAACCAACAAAGAAAGTTTCCCTCCATATATAAACCTTTCCTTGACCCTCCACAACAACAAACTAATACT